ATTTAAAGAGAAAAGGGCTGTTTTTATTTATTATTTTATCTAATTGACAATAGTAATTAATATGTTCAGATAAACTTTATAAAACCATCATTGTTTTTAATCGATGATAATAATAACGATATTGATTTACCAACACCAACAAAAACCATAATCATAAAATATTAAATTAATAATATCCTTATATTAGTTTTCTATCTATTATATTATATAAACAACTGTAAAATATCATGTATTATCTTGTCCAAAAATAAAAATATCAAACTGTTTTTAAAATTGGTACCTAACAATGATAGGCTATCATTGGGAATGGAGTCATTGAGATACTGTAAAAAAAAATAAGTCTTTTATCGATATTATACTAAATTAAAAATGCAACATGTAGGTAATTTATAAAATGAAATTCCTAGGAAACAATGCAATATATCTCAAAAGTGMATTTTGAGATTTTTCTTTCTAAACTATAGGACAAGTAGTATAATAAGTAAAAATACTTTTTACTTTAATAATTTGTGAAATTGGTAGGTACTGATGTTTTTCGTAGGTAGTTAAATATTTCTCAATATTTTGGTTGATACTTATTCATTTTTAATTCATTTAAAAATGGCGACGTTAAAACTTTTTTAATTTAAATACACGGATGCTCGTTTTCTTGCTGATGTGTTTTGTTTTCTAGATAGTAAAAATCTAAAGATCTTAAATCGTTTTAACGTCATCACACCACACACATAATATATAAAAAGTCCGAATTGAGTATAAACTAGTAGACATAAAATAKTATAATACATTTATTTATTATTTATATTCAATAGTATCAATATTATACCGATAATTCACATTTCACTCGCCATTAACGGATAATATTTCAACAAATTCATCGCCTGTATTGTGATTTTGGATAATTTTCAGATATCGAATCGGTTGTTTCCCGTATGTTTTAGTTATTTTGTTTGTTTTACTATAGTGCGATTGCGTGCGAAAGATTTCTTCCTCTTATTGGTGCTGGTAAAAGTGACAACGTCRTGTCCGACTATGACTACACTACAGCCAGAACTACAGATAGAATATGTTAGAAAAAAATATTGAAACCATTATAGCTTTTGTAGTTTATTGCAAACATAATATAATACGTAGTATACTTGACGACGCCATTTAAACACTTCCAACTGGCTGGACTCGTGGCATATTTTTACTACTCTGGCGTATGATACTACTAATAATTATTTATGTTCTAATTTTAACACCACAATATTATTGTTGTACAATATATTTTATAACGTACCTAACGTGCTGCAGGCGGCATGACGAGATTCTCTTTGTTTGAATTTTGGTTTGGTCGATTCACGCGAATATAAAAAAAAAAAAACACCGTAAACATCTGGAAATTGAAATAATTAGAAACGCCAATTTTAAAAACAGCGAAGACCATTTCGTCACTAAGTATGTCATTTGAGATGTGGATGGTTCTCAAGAGTTTTTTTCCTGAACTGTGTTTCGTTCGGATATTGTGCAGAGTTTGCTGACCTGACTGCATACTTTGATTGAACACAATTTTTTTTTACTAAATCTACGCGTGCTACAACTGTTTCGATAGTGGTCTGCATAAATGGCTTTAAAAAACATAGATTGATAAACGCCAAATTTAAATATTATCTTATTCGTCTTTTRTTGCCGGTTGAATTTCACGGCATTATTCATCAATATGTTTTRTGATTGTAAATTATTTTGAACAATTTGTACATAATTCATTTTGAAAACTCTATAAGGGACCTTGGCACAGGTGCTTGTTAAAATTCACACTATACCTATACTTAAAACATGTATAATAAATACGCGTTTTATTGGTCTCGTTTTATTTTATTTGATTGTTTAACAGTTCATTTTAGATTCAGAGCGGAGCGATAAATGTATTGATTTTACAATGGTGTTGGTGTTTTTTGTTGTATTTATACTCAAAATGTATTTTGAAAAAATGCTCTCGACTTTTAGCATGGTTTCTGATAGAAATTATTATTTTTTTTGGTACTTTGGAAATGTCAAAATTAAAAATTACCATTATTTAATAAATATTAAGTAATAATAATATTTCATATWTAATATGAAAAGCAAGAATATTTACGCAATACTAATTTTTAATAGAATCGATTTTGTATGTTTGGTGTCACCCATAAATAAACAACCGAATTTATTTGAAATGTTTACTAAATTTTTTGAGTATAAAATAACGGTTCTCAATAGACGGTTTTCATATTTCGTTGTAAATTTCGTTCGTGCCATCGAGCAGCGCGGAAATTATTGTGCCACGACTGCGCTCGTTGTCTCTATGTCGGCTATGATATTAGTGATATGCTCTTATCAAGCTAATAGTGAATGGCGTGAGTAGCTCTAAAAGCATTTTTAAGTATTTTTAAGTATTTTCACTCAATTTCACTTATTTTTGTTCAATGGTTTTTGTATCTATTTAATGTATTATATAATTTTCCTCAGTGCCACCAAAAGTCGGTGTTTTTAGCTCTTTTATTTATTTTAAGGCGATACTGCAATGAATTATGCTTTTCGTTCATTRGTTATTATATTTTCATGAGAAAGTTTGTCCAAAACCTCAAACTTAATTATTTTTCGTGTTCTTTCCCGCCTCTTCGAACTGCGTGGTCTTAATTCCCAGCCAGTGGTGTTGCATTAATTATAATCTATTATTAATTCGTCCGTGTTACCATTTTCACTTTGAAGTTCCTTTTTTATACTTATATTCGTTCATTGTATTTTATTTGTCATTTTCAAAGTTTTTGTATACTTCATTACTGGTGTCAAGGTTCTGTAAGTATAGTCATCATTATACCATAAAATTATTAATTATTATTCCCCAATTCAGGGTGGTCAAGACATACTTACAGAACCACGTGAATGTTAATTGTATACCTTTTCGTTGGTTTCGTTGTACGACGTGGTTTGGTTTAATCGTCTGGACTGGTGGCCCGTTGGTCGTACGCTCGAGGGATTGTCACGCATTTTAATTAATATTGTATTACTTTCATTGTGSAAGTGTGGGCATCCCGAGACACGGTAGTGTTCCGGTTTGAAGCTACCAATGGACACCAATTCCCAGATAATAGGCTGACGAGTCTCATTATTATATTATACGGTTTTTGCGCCGACTTGGGTCAACATCGCATTTATTATTTATACACTTGTATTACCAGCTTAGGCCAAATTTATATTATTATACATTTTTAAGCCAATATAGGCTCTACTTCATATTATTGTACATTCTGAAGCCAAAAGGCTCTATTTCATATTATTACTAATAAGCCAGCTGGTTTTATTTTTGTGTATTGCTTTGCTGTTATATTTTATTTTTTATACTATTATTGAGCTGGCATAGGCCAACAATATTAAATAATTTTATTATTATTATTTACCTATTGTAGGCCATTGATTATTATTATTTTTTATTTTATTGTGTCGTACCTATATAAGAACAAATTGCTATTATCAAAAAGTTGTTTCTTGATTTAATCAAATTATTATTATATCATATTCTACAGCAGTAAACTTCTGATTTTAATATAGCGTAAAAGACATATCGGTGCGCAAACAAGTTTGTTGTAAAATAAAAAGTACTTGAAAATTGCAATACTCATATTATAATATAATTTTTTACATTTCGGATTTTTGTTTTGCAGTGATTTCTACTTCCCTTTTTTTTAGTTATTATAGACGTATAGCTATAGGATCGATGTGATATATATTTTATATATTATTATCCTGTTACTTACCAAACTATCATTGCTTATTATGATATTATATATACATTTTTTTATATAAGCGCAAAATAATTCTGTCATTTTTTACAGTTTCGATAATCGAGATTTTTTTAGAGAAGAAAAAATAACCAAACAATTAATTTATTATGGTATAAGAAAGCATTCTAATTATTAGATACGTAAATTGAGTGTTAACAATAAACGTAGCTAAAATTGTTGCCATCAACGATGAATAATAAATTATAATTAAATTATATTATACATCCGGAGAACATGGTATTTTTAATTTTTTATATGCAAATCATTAGAGATTATCTATTGTACAGTTATGCAATATAGGTAGTTCGTCTGCATATTATGATGTAGGACACAATTCGCTATATATAGGTATGCACATCTTAACGAAACGACGCATTGTAAGTGAAAAAATGTATTTCTATAAATACAGACTTATTATAAATTTGGTATTTTAATGAACTATTAGTCAGGTATTTTTATAATTTTTATATATAAATATTAAATTATTCTTAGATCGATTTTAATATATATGCATACCTAACTTATTGTTATTATGTGCATACAATTATTTGATATAATGCGATTTTCTATTATATTTTATGATTTATTTATAAAGAATAATTGTTATTAGAAAATGTCTATTATTGAGGTATATTTTGCTGGATTATGACGAAACTGATTCAAATATTTATTCAATTTCACTATGCTAAATTGCTATAATTCAGGCTTTATATTGTGTTAATCGATGTGTGTTGATAATTTTAGTAACCATTCCGAGAGGTGATATTGTCATTGAATACGGCTCCGGCACACCCTTGGAAATCACGTGCGTCTTAGATCCCGACAATGAACAAGTGCAAAGTTTGTATCGAAATGACACCTTCGACGGCAGCGAAGCCAAAACGCCGAGMCAGCGGATCATGTTTTACAAGAACGCTGAACGTGTTTCCAGACAGTACATGACGATTATAAATGAAACGGCGGCTCAATTGCATATCCCCGATCCACCGGCTGGACGAGATACCTATTATTGCACGCTGTTACTTGACGACCAACCGGACCCAAACCACAGCAATGATAATATCAGTGGTGCTCAGTCCACACCGTCAAATGATTCGTCGACATTTCCCACACCTCCGCCGACGAGCTTGGAAACCAGCGGACCACCTTCGCTGGTGTCACAGTCCTCTGAAGTCGGGGTGTGTCTCAACAGCGTTGCCGTTGGATGTGAGTTAACTCTTTATTCGAACCCATTTTTCTTTAACTGATGATGTTATATTGTCTCTATGTAAAATAATGATTACATCGTATGGTTATCAAGTTAAAATGTGAATAAATATCTGTAATAATAATCGTTCTAAACTGTATAATAATATATGTGTATTKCGTATAAGTATTTAAATATAATACCTACTTAAAATGATTTCATTGAAACACATGTTCCAAGTGTTAGAAAAATCGCTCATGATCAAAATGTTTTGGACTAAAATATTAAAATGGCACCTATAAATTATAGGCTAATATGATATAATCAATAAATACATAAATTATTTGAATAAACGTTTAGCTCAGGATAAATTATTGTAACCAAGAGTTCAATTGTGTTGTTTAAGTGCTGCAGTAAATAAGTTCATTTTAATTTTTTAATTATAGCTAAAGTGCTGCAATCGTTCAAACTAATTTTCTTATCGGTCTGATATGTTGAAATTGATATGCTTTTTATTTAATTCTAATAATTCTTCTTGATTTGATTTTTCTGGAGTTAAGTGGATTAATAGCATTTTCTGTATGAGCATAACACTTCGCTAAGTACATTGTTTGATTTTAAAAGCTTTTAAATACTTGTAATATACATTAAAAACATATTACTTTGAGTTTATCAGTAAAAATCGAGTATACTTTTTATTTTATTAATTTTAATTTTTTAAATGYTTATACGTATGTAAATTATTCGTTACCTATACATAAATATATTATTATTTTTTGGTTTTTCATTCGAATTATAATTTTTTAGATAAACCCGCAATGATTAAAAATTTCACTTGTATATCCGACAATTGGGTAAGTTTGACATGCAATTGGACTAAACCACAGAACCCAATTAAAACAACCTATAAGTTATTCTTCAGATTACCTGGTCGTGCTGGAGGAAGGTAATGTATATTAGTTGTTTGTAGTTGGGGTTAATCACTAAATACAAGTATCCTTTTTTTTTTTTCAGAACTATTATAAATTGTCCTAAGGATTCAGATTCCAGAGAAAATACTTGTTATTGGGATTTCTCTACCACGCCAATATATAGACAACCATACGAATATTATTACTTTACATTACTTGGCGATAACGTATTGGGAAATTCGACTACATCTATTCGTTTTCATCACTACGCCAATGGTACGTTACATATCCTTTAGATTTTATTTAACTAATTACATGCGTTTGAATAAATAACGAGCATTTTACGTTAAAATAATTACCCTGTATAATATGTCTACTTATTATAACATAAAAAAATAAATATTGTTTTTATATTTTATTTAGTTATCCCCGCGAGTCCTATTAATATTACAGTGGTGGATAAAACACAATCTAGTGCCATGTTAAGGTGGTCTGTAGGCACAATGACAGCCTTTCCGCGAGAACTAATTCATAAGATCGAATATAAGTCTCAATGGGACTCCAATCCTGAACATTGGCATGTAAGTGCTCATGCATTTTCCAGTAAATTAAAAATCATAACATGGTAATCAATTATTTTTTGCAGTCTGTAAATGTGAGTGATGTTTGCAATTCGTCATCAACTTCCAATCAAACAAATAATTCTTATTCGAATTGCCGTGAACGTGATTCTGACTATTATTATTTTAATGTAACTGATTTAAAATACCCGTTCACGCATTATGATTTTCGCATATATGTACGTTCTTCAGTTGCTCGTGGGGAGGATAAATGGTCTCCTCCTGGTTGTATAACTTTGAAAACCAAGCCTTCAAGTAAGTTTATTTATAATATATTGTTATACATGTGGTTACACATACTTAGGCTGCACAGTCGGTTTAACTCAAACAATTAAAAAATAAATATTCTTTTGTAAATAATATAGTTTATTTAATATCTAATAATAATAATTACCTATAGTACCTAGGAGACCACCACGGACTGATGTTGGTAGCTTTGAGTGTGTTACGTCACCAGTCGACAAATCTAAAAGAGACGTCTTCATTTATTGGCAAAATATTGAAGATAATGAAAAATGTGGTGACTTATTTGAGTATCGTGCCTACTATACTTCTACAACTGCAGATAACAAAACGATGTTTGTACTATTTTTTTTTTTATTTWAATTTAATTTATTACTGAATTAATATTTCTGAATTGAAATTGTTTTCACGATATAGTATTCACCGCAGTAATGAAACATATAAGAATTATGCCAAGTTTGAAGGACTCAGTACCGACATTGGGTACAATTTTACCGTGTATTCATCAAACAAAGAAGGTTTATCAACCGAGTATTCAACAATTTTTGTTCCCAGTGAATCAGACAGTATGTTTTTAAATGCTATTCAAAATTGTTTGAATAAGTTTTAATGTTGACTGTTTTTAGAACTTGACGAGCCGTTATCATTTACAAAAATGGCATTTGATGAACGAGGTGTATTTGAACTTTCGTGGAAAAATTCCAGTAGTCAAAAACTATTAGCAGCCAATCAAGTCAACGATTATACTATATTTTGGTGTGAAAATGATAAGGACCGGCCATACCAGTGCAATGTTTGTACAATTTAAATATTATGCAAATAATAGCTAAGATTTTAAAAATTCTTAAATATATAATATTTATATATTGTTAAGTAATGACGGGCTACGTGTCAAATGCTTTCTGATAATCATAAAATAATAATATTGAAGTAAGCCTAACGCAAATAATATTTTGTATATTGTTAAGTAATGACNCTTTCTGATAATCATAAAATAATAATATTGAAGTAAGCCTAACGCAAATAATATTTTGTATATTGTTAAGTAATGACGGGCCACGTGTCAAATTCTTTCTGATAATCATAAAATAATAATATTGAAGTAAGCCTAACGCAAATAATNCTTTCTGATAATCATAAAATAATAATATTGAAGTAAGCCTAACGCAAATAATCAAAGAACCTACATTAACGCGATCTGCTGATGTTACGCACATGTTGAATATAGAAAACAAATATTTTGCTGATATCCTCTTAATTCAATTCGATTAAAAAGAAGTTACTTAATTCGTTTCTTTTTTTAAATAACAACAAAAACCTGTTTTTAAAAATATATTCTTCTATACTTTTTTAATTGCGTACTAGCTTTAGTGGTTTTGGAAATTACACATTTTCATCAATCAATGACATTCATTTATTTATTTTTTTAAATTTAAAATCGGTGTACAACGTGGTGATTTAACTAAACAATAAGTAAATAATTCTTCTAACTGCAGTTTGATGATATGCACCTATTAACATGTTTTTAATTTAACTGAATTTATTTAATTGGTTACTTTAACTAGTTAAATTAAACGGTTGGAAAAAATACAGTTACTATTTATACCACCTTTATTTAAGTTATTTTTAAGTAGTTTTTAATAGTCTTAAAATATACACTTAAAATTGTCGAACAAAGGTGTAGCCCTTTTCCTTGCAAAAAAATTTAAAAAAAAATACTATATAATATAACGTTATATATATATATATATATAATTTTCATCAATTGTGTTTTTTGTATATATAGGGTTACATGAACTGGATGCATATACCAAGTTCAGAATCTTGCTATAATATTACTGTATCAGATCATATGAAAATTTATCAATTTGCAATAAGTGCTAACAGTCAGAGCTCACTAAAGACCACAGATATTACTGGTTTTTATCAAACACCTTCTATTAGTAGTGGGATGGTATGGGCATCGTGCACAGTACTACATAATAAAAGTATAGCATAATATAGATTATTTTATTCACYGAGTTTTTAATTGTTAGATTTCAATACTGTATTAATAAATTGTTTTATTCGTTTTTTTAATGATTAGTTGTCGGAAAAATAAAAAATGTCTGGGTAAATATGATTAGCTCAACATCTATGGAATTGAGATGGAAACTTGACTGCTCTGATAGAATAGGCGCAGTTCTAGGATTTCGTATATTCTACTGCCCCGTAGTATCCATAAATAATTCTGCTTGTAAAGGTAAGTCATAATTTTAATTATTTAACTATCCAATTGAATATAAAATACATACAACACATAATATTTCAAAACTAAGTTTATAATCTTGTTCGCAATGTTTGTTCTATAATAATTTAGTATCATACATCGTATATGTTATGTCTTAGTTGGAACAACAAAATATAGTTCATTATAAATATTATATTCTGAAGTKTTCAAGTGTAAATTAAATGTTCAATGTTTGTTATTACGCCTTTAATTCTACATCAGTGAAGGAAATTGTTTAATAATTATTATAGTACCGAAAGTATTGACATTCTATTATAAAAATGTGTATTTAGTTARTTTATAACATGTACTGATTACTGAAATTCAAAGTTTAGCTTTAAATACTCTTTATACTATAAACGTTAATATAATATAATATAATATGTAAATATATATATATATATATATATGGTAGTATATGATGTTATGATATATTTTAAATTTTGTTATTAATTGAAATTTTAACTTTAGAAAAATAATTCTTTATATTATTATTATTTATTTCTAAATGATAGTTGTGAAAATGATTGTTTTTTTTTGTAAATAAAAATAAAAGTTAACATTATTTTTCATTTTAGAACCTATGTTAAATAAGACCGTTGGTGGTGAGATGGCACAAGATAGTAGAGGAATTGCAAGCATTACAGATCTCAAGTCATATACTACATACATGGTTACCATTGCATTAATAACAAAACATGGTGAAGGGTTACATAGCGATCCTTTGCTCAACACCACTTTAGAAGGAGGTAAATTTGCGTATATGACATATTGGTTTCAACCAAATTTGTACACAATTAGTATAATATTATTCTTAATTATTAATTATTGCTATTTAATACTCAGCACCTGATATTCAAAACCTAACAATAAATGTCACGAAACTGACCAATACGACTGTGTCTCTTCAATGGTCGCCTCCTAAAGTCGCCAATGGTATTGTCCGTTACTACCATATTCATTATTATTTGGACGATACATTACAGCAGCAGGATTTGATTGATTCAATTGACGAACAACAAATCATAAATGAACAACGTCGTATTACGGTTCACGACACAAAGGTTATTCTTTTAATATATCTGAATTCACATGACATATAAATTCATTATTTTTACAATTTTAAGTAAAAACCCTGATAAGTATGTAACTATAATTTAACATAATCATTGCATTTTTCAGTGTCGTCTGGAACACCTTGAAAGTTATAGAAGCTACACAATTACCATCACAGCATGCACAACAGTTTGTTCAGAGCGTTCACTTCCCATAAAAGTTCGAACAGCTGTAGGGCGTGAGTTAAAAACTTTAAAATCATTTAAATACAGTTCAATGTTGTAACATACATATTTTTATTTAGTGCCAGGAAGGGTTTCTCAACCAAATTTGTTCTACGAAAACAGCACTAGGATAGCCGTATCTTGGCCAAAACCCATGAAACCGGCTGGCCCAGTTGATTATTACGAATTGATTGTAGCACATCACAGTGGACCCACAAACTCGCAAACTACAAACAGTGGTTCATCTTCACCTACTGCTTTGGCTTCCACACAAATACAGGAAAATCCGAACAATTTCTTATACCATAGCAATTGTAAATATCCACTGTACAATATTTAGAGTTTTATAGAATTTAATTGTTTTTTTCTTCTTATTCACCTAGCAAACATGTTCCGTGTACCTGTTCCGGATTGTAATAATGAACAGGATAGGGGTCAACAAACTTTTTCATTTGCAGTTCGAGCTGTGAACAACAATCCACTTGATCCTCATAGGCCGTATTATGGTCAGTGGTCTGTTCCTGGGTCGGTCAGTTGTGTGTTACCAGGTAATTTTCTGTTACAAATTTATTTTAATATAGATTTAAAGGTTTTCAAATAAGGATCTTTTAGAGGACGCATGCACTTGATGACTCCATTTTATTATGAAAAATATTATGTACTTATTATGTAAAAACAAGTTACAATATGTATTATTTATCAAGTTCAAAAGAAATCATAACAAGCACTGTACTTTTCGAGTCATTGAAATAACAAATCTTGTAGCCAAATAAATTTCATATGAAGTAAGAAATGGTTAAGTTATTAAAATATAGATGGTTAACAAATATTCACTACGACGCAATCTTTTAAAAATAACGTAATATTTGTAAACAACATTCTAAAAGTTAAACAAATTATGTAAAAAGTGTATGTATTTTGTTCTTGAAATATTGTCAAACTCAAAACGTCTATCATCAAAATTAAATACAATAAAATTGCATACAAGAATTTTTTCCTCTTATTAAACTCTATTTTGAACGATACTGATTCAGAAAAAGTTATTAATTTTATTATAGTCATATTATTAGTAATAGTACAATTGTAGTTTGTAGCATACATAATTACATTATTTTTTTATAAATATTCCAAATTAGTATKTTGATGAAATTCGTCAATATCACAAAAATGTCCAAATTATTTTGTAAATAAAAATGTATGTAGATAATYCCACATGTATAACATTTTTAATATTAATAGTGAAATTAGTAAAAGAATTTTCGTAAAATGTTATTAGGTACTAGAATTAGGTATATTTTATATACACGTATAGTACATRCCGCATGTTGATTTTTAAGCTTCCTTATACTTATATCTTAATTGTTATTATGGCCATATAAATATATTCGGGCATGTTTTTGTCTATAGTCATTTGAATTTTAAAGTTAGACAAAATGCATGAATATTTAAAAATTATTTTGTAATTACAATTTATAAAATGTTCAATTTGTATAGTTGAAGTTTGAAAATGTATAACAAGGATTCTCATAAGCAACTTTCGCCAAACAATCTGAAAATTGTAAACAACTTTTTTGTTATAGACATCTTACATCTAGGGTTAAAATTTTGAAAAAATTTGATATTTAGGTGAAAAAATAACGATTTTTAAAATGTTACTTAGCTGCAGTTTAAAAATATTATTTGTGGGTGATTGAAACTTACTTTTTATATAATWTAATTACATTTTCAAATTCAATTTTTCRATAAAAACTAATTCAACGTACTATATTACCCATAGTAACATCATTTACTTTATTAGGAATATCATAAAATATAATTTACAGATCGTGTTTGTTCAGAATCATTTTTCGTATGCGATGATTTATCATTGAATTCAAATTCAACACCTATTAACAGTCGCTTACTCAATAACAAGGTACCTTCACTTGGTACTTATTGTACAGCAAAGTTACTCATATATTTCTATTTTTTTTTCTAACCAAAAAAAACAGCACTTGTATATAGTTAGAAGTATATTTCATGTTTAGATTTAAATCTAATGACTAATAAAGCATGCATGAACTAGTCTAGGTATTATACYTATAATATTTACATTGCATAAGATTTGAATTTTGAATTTCGAGTTGTGGGTTTTGGTATCTGGACATCTGGTTGATAWACGCTTTATACATTTAAAACAATAATTAACTATTTTAATCATTATTATTTTTAAATCAAATAAGAAGTGTATAATATTGTATGTTTAATTTTGTTTAGAAAAATATTCTGTTAGTAATAATTTAACCATCTAAAGTGGACATATAGCTTACGGCCAATTACTTGTTAATTTCTGTGATAATGAAACTTTTTGAAATCATTCTGTTATTTTCATGTTTATCATTATCTCGTTATATAATATAATCATCGGTGTAGAAAGCCTTTGTAACTAGTTACAACTTACAGATTTATAGTAGTAGTGCCCAATTTATAAATAATTTTATGGCTACCTGATAAAAATAAATAAAAATGTTTTTCTATTTATCATACATTGGGTTGTGAATATAATAATGTATATTATGTTATTAAGTATAATAAAACCCAAAAATGAAATAAAATGTAATAATAATTATTTGTAATGTCTTGACACATGATACATGGAGTATGTGCATTGCATAATGATTTAATTGTGGCATTTTTATTAGTTAGTAAATATTACCAATGTTATGATTAGGTGATAAATTACACATTTTCGTATCTAAAAATATGCGCATATTGTTGTGGGGATGAACGTAAAAGACTTTCGGGTCGTTGTGATGACTTATTTGTTATTTATATAATATAGAAAGGATGTGATGCGTAAATAAAAAAGTTTTATATTTTTTTAATTTTGTGAACAGAAATGGTCTACAGGGTGGGTGATGGGTGATTCACACCGTGATTCTGCAGGGTATCACTTCACTTCGGTGTGTTGCTGTAATAGTATGTATAAACCCCGGCCAGTTAGTTTTGTACGATAGTAAAGTATGAACACGGGATGAGATTACAAAGGCACTTACTTTTTTTCCCCGGTTTTGGCCAAGAGCTATTCACAGGACTGTCACTCAATTTATGTGACATTATCGGCGTAGTTGTAACAGTTGGCTTTAATTGTAAACTAAAAATTATTAAACATGAAATGTCACTGTGGCATATCTATTAAGCCTCACATCTATAATATAGTAATATTTAAAACTACTCGGCTTTGCTTTCGTATATTATTCTAAAAAAAAATTTAAGTAGTTAATATTCGATTGATAAAAAATAATAATTTTAATAAAATATTATTATGTTCAACTGTCTGCATTCTTATTTCAAAAATTTTCACATTTGATTTTAATTAATATAYGCATATATACATACATAGCTTCATAGTTACTAATTTTAACAGATATTGGCAAATCAATAGTATTGTATGTTCAAATAAAAATATATTTTCATCATATTTGTTATAAATCAAGTGCATTAATTATTGTATATTAACGCTTTCATTTACAAAGTGCATAATAATATGCATAGTTTTAAAGTGCGTTAAAGTTTTCACTAGGACGAATCATTTTGAATGGCCCTTGAAATAAGTTTAAAGATGATTAATCTAAGTGCTGCATTATTAAATAGTAAGTACCTATAYCTACTCTAATAAATGCAGGGTGGATACTATTTTTCAATTGCGATCGAAATGTAATTATTTTTTATTATTATGATATATTATTTTGAGCAACAATTATTCAATTACTTTTGAATAAGAAAAAAGTAATTACGTCATTGATTCCACAGTATATTTTTTATTTTAGATATAAATATCATATAATATACAACGAGTTATATGTATATAGGTAAATCATTATACTATTACAACATGTGTGTATAATTTCACTCGACGGTAGCAAAATTCAACATTGAAAAAATTTACAGTTTTAGAATTTAGGAGATTAAAAATAAATTCAGTTGTAGACGGCACAATAAACAAAAAGATAAAATAAACAAATAAAGAACGACCGAGAACAACAACACACATTTTTAGCGTGCAATATATAATGAATAATGTATTATTAACGTATGTCGTATATTGTTTATATTATCCCTGGTAAAAAATCTAATCAAATATATTTTGTTTATTAACTTATAAAGTTATAATTTACTGACTAAGCATCTCATGGTATAAAATATTACGTTTGTCTTTTTACCATTTTAAATRCATTTGGAAATTAAAAATGATACTTTTTTTTAAATGTCTACCAAGCTATTACTTTTTGTTGGATCGTCTCCAAGGCGTAGGCGCTGGAGGTGAGATTGTCTATCCGTTGTAAGCTTAAAATTATTGGAATAACAAATTAACACAGATATTCATTAGAATAATATTTCTTAAATCCTAAAATGAAATATCCTTAAGTATTTTTTAAATAAAATCAAGATTTTTGTATTCTTTCCGGCTGATAAAACTACTATATATATATTATAATTATGTGTCTCAATTATCTACTACATTATCGAAAAATATAGGGACGTAAAAATGGACACAAACATGTTCCACTAACATGTTCGTATACAAATACTATAGTAACATGTGCTTGAAATTAATTATTGCCGAATCATGACCAAATCATTTCGTTTTTATAAAATATTAATGGTAAATAATGCACTGCTGTGTGTGTGTCATGAATTCATGATATTTAAAATGAAATAATACGCCTCGGTCTTCTCGATATTATGATTATTATCTTTAGTCAACAATTTTTCATTACCGTTCGTCACAGTKGCGTGCGCAGGGGGGGATGATGGGGGATATATCCCCCCATGGGCTTTTTTTTAGTCTTCTAACGAGTGGATTTTGGATCTCTAGTTCATCAACATAAACATAATACATTTTTATTTATGACATCCCCCCATACCAAATTCTTGCGCACGCCACTGGTTCGTCATATTGATCAGCCATTATTTTATTTCGTCTATTCTTTAATATAACATATTCTTTAAGCATTTATAATTATATTAATGCCTCTAATTATTCAATGGTAAACGGACACTTTGTACTAGGTATCTATTGTTTGATTTGCATTGACACTTTGTACGGTGAAAATAATTTGATGAAAAACTGTCCGCCATATTATACATTTTATTACTATCTGCAATAGTACAAACTATCCGCTGTTTTCATTTTTTTTTAGACAACCGTACAAAGTGTTCTACAACCTTATTCAATATCACAATATTTAAGATATACAATAAGTATACTGGGTTTTAAATTCGTTTTAGGTACCTTATTTTACCATCAATAGAATAATATACTTAATGCTATACACGGTATAACTGCGCTATTCATGTATCCAAATGTTTTTATTTTTATTTGTAATTGTAATGAAATACAGTGAGTTTTAAACTTGTTGTATCCATCGAGGTATTATGTTATGTTGAAGGTATTATTAATATTATTGAAAAGCAATAATAACAAAAATATATTATTGTYACTAGTTTAAGCCATCATTACACTGCGGTGAGCATTGATCATTGTAAAACGTTATGTACTCGTATTGTGTAGACCTATGTGCTATATATAATGTTATTGTTTCACATCTCTACCAATAATTTTTTTTATTCTYTAGGTCTTCCCCTAGCACTTCATTTAGTCATATGGTCATGTTTGTTCATCGTTTTGTCCACTGTTTCCACGTACTGGGGTAACAGGTAAATTTTATATTTCATAATAATACATTTTTATATTTTATATTATTTTCAATAGCGCTTCACATTAATATTATTATAATGTATATATATATATATATATATATATATTTTTTTTTTCATAAGGCTTTGGAGGAAATACAAAGTAATGCATAACGTAGAAGTAGTACTACCACCCACATTGAACATAAATTTTAAATTTGTAAGTATTTGTCTATATATTATTATTAGCAGCAAAACTATCGTTATCTTAACCTCTATATAAATAGCATTCATTTTTTTGCTGTTCCTGACGTGCTTTATTAGAAAATAAATTATATATCATATTCGTTCTAAATAATTGGTATAGAAGCATTTTAAACTTTTTAAATTCATAAGGTAGAAAATAAGAAAATTACCGAGTTGGATGCGGTTAACTGGATCAACTCAAATTTATATATTTATTTATCGTCAGTATTAGAACGCTTTAAGAAGTATTCCACAAAATTCATATTTGTGGTTTGTCAAATATAGTTTACCCGGCAAGATTTSTATGGYAATAATGCTAATGGCAGCATAGGTAATAATTATAATATTGTACGGGGTCCCAGAAAATTGCTGCCTTCAAAAGGTTTTCACGGTATATCGCAACCACAAGCCAAACAATAAGGGCGATATGCTTTATTATTATAGTTTGACCAAAGCAAATTAATGTTTAAATAACGACAGCGATGTAATATTACCGTCGTTATGTATTTCGTAAAAACTCTGTTGTCCGTATTTCCATTGCCGGGCATCATTATATAGGAGGTATGTATGGCGGGAATTTTTTTAATGCAGAGAACTGCAAACCGTCCTGTCATTATCTGAGACCCGTGAACACATTTTAAGCATAGCAAGTGTTTTTTAATCAATTAATACATACTTTATTATATTCACGAATGTGGCCCGCCAGATTTTTCGAAAAAGTAGGTGGCCCGCTGCCTAAAAAGATTGAAGACACTTGCTCAGATTGAACACACACCCATCGATATTTTTTTTCCATACATTTTTTTTTAAAACCCTTTATTGGCGTTTCACAAAGTATTAATTCATCGTTACCTATTATTTTATATTAATCGTGCCAATCTATAGGACCATTACAACAACTTTGGTGAAAACGTATTGGACTCGGGTCAACACTATTACGTAGAGGACGGTCACATCATATACGACAATGCGCCGGCCGATGTTGACGCCACCACCATCGCGTTCTACAACGGAAATTCGAACGCGTTGTCCGGGTCGAATCATCGTAAAAATAGCAGTGCCAATGCCAGTTCCGAGCGTCTGCCGTCGTCCCGGTGGAGTCCTGCGACGGCTTCGACTACCATAACGGCGGCCGACGACGATGACTCTTCGTCTAGCAAACACCAAGTGATTAAATTAATATTGTTAGACATTATCAGGACTTTTTATCGAATGTATTGAAAACYCGTTGAATAGGCTTGAACTTGCGCATTGAAAATTGAGTAAAATATTCTCTAAAAACAAAACAAGTGCATTAAAATTTAAAATATTTTTAAAAACGTATAATTTTCGTATATAATTGAGCTTATAAAAACGTAATTTTTTGAAAATAATTTTTACAGTTTCTCTATAAAAATCAGTTTATTAGGATAATTATTGAAGGGAATAACATCTAAACAAATTTTGATCGAACTTAATTCCTTCTACAAAAAGAAAAAAAAAAGCAGTTACATTAAATAAATAATTATAATAAGATATCGATAATATTTACAACTGAAATTAGTGTGTTTTATTATTTATCTTATTATAAGAGTGCGGGATGGTTGGCTATCATAATATTCTGAAAATGTTTCAAATCTTTGATCAATTCCGTAATTTACACAGGCTATGTTAATTTTAGCTCGTACAAAATGTTCGTATCTTCTAACAGTTGGTCAGTTACCGCAGTTCTAGTATACAAAATATACTAGCGTATTTTAAATACCTCAAACCTACATTGCGCATCATAATACGAGTAACATAAAATACATAATTTGGATACGGTCGTCAGTATTCCATAACTCATAACAGTTGAAATATTTTTTGACAGCTTGAGTTAATTATTATTATAGATGTTTTTAAACTTATAGTTGGTATATTATAATGGTATCTACTAACCAGTGGGTAACTWCAGGTCTACTACGTTTGCTTAATAAGATCTGTTAAATTAATCCTTCACAATTCATAGGATTTTATTTTATTTCATGCGAATAAATCCCAAAGGTAATGTTACCTACTGGAAACAAAATTCAAAATGTTCAATGTCAAAATTAATGAATCGAAAAAATTCCAGGAGATAATACATAAATGTACCACAAATATTAACTCTCAATCAGTGGATGTAAAAAATTCACGTATAATTATCTCTGTATGTAAAATGKCGCTACAAGCCCGTAGTACAAGGTGTAGGTATTTATGTAATTGTAATATCTTGGTAATCTATAAATTTAAAATAACTTTACAAGTTTCCATCTTAAGAAAATGTATGAACTTCAGTGATTAGAAAATATTATTTATAATTTGATATTATATAGGTACATAAAAACATGATAAATGTGTGTATAAAAAAATCGAATTTGATCCAATGTCAAAATATCTATCCGTATCAGGATCGCTAAAGACAATTATTGTTCTGTTTACGAATTGCACTTTTTGTTAAATTTGATGAACACTGGTGTGTTATGGCCTTTTAGTTTGAAAATCAATTGTAAAAATGTAGGTCTTTGTTCTATTTATTTGTTCTACTCATTCATTATGTTTAAAGAAAAAACAGTCTGCGGCATTTGTGGTCATTGGACGCAATATTACATTTTTATTACTATATATATAAATTACATTTACAGTTGATTATTCGTAAACAATCAGAGAAAAGGTTGAGTATTCTGACTAAATTAKCTTTTCCAATCCGGTTTTCTGGAGAAATGATATTATTATGTTGAAAACCGACAGATTTGATCTAAGGCTTTCAAATATATCTTCAGATAGTTGGTTGCGATCCCTTACTTCGTCGTATATGTAACACTCTGTCATGATAATATGTTTGATTGACAAATTGAAACCACAGTATGTGCATGTGGGGGTTCCTCTGGGGACATCAGGTAACCATGGTTGAGTCTGGTGTGACCAATTCGGAGTCTGTTAATAATGGTTTCAATTTTACGGGTTGATTGGTTATTCGGCCAATGTAGGGATTTTTGCTTAATTTAATTTAGTTTATTTTTTCCTGTTGACCATAGATTTTGACAGGATTGTGCTGAAATAAGTTTGATTTTGCGTTTTACATCTTGGACGGATATGTTTTTGATATTAAATAAGTGAGCTCCTACTTCCTCGGAGATTACTTTGCACACCCGTCATCGTCTACCTGAAGGTCCTTGTCATAGAATGACAACGGATTATTACTGTATTGGCATCCAATACCAAGGTCTATACCAATTTTCAGAATTTTTCATCGTCAAAAAGTGCCTCAAATCGAGCGCGCAAGATTTGATTACAGACAGTCAAACAGACGTGAAAGCGACTTTAAGAAAAGTGTGTAATAATATCAAAAACCAAATTTATTTATTTTTTAATAAGCTGTTATTACATACGATTTAAAAAAAAAAAAACCTAATAACAACAAAAAAATCTTGGAATATTCCATGGATTTCGAAAAATAAAATTTAAAAGTGAAGATGATAAGTTTTCAAAATGAAACTAGAAGAGTAAAACTTTTGATACCAGAAACATATGTCTTTATAAACAAGTTAAACTTAAGCATAATACGCATTAATTATTATTTGACGTACTATAGTTACTATTGTATGTATAGTATGGAATATGTATCTATGTGTAACTGAATTAAGATTTGTGAAAAATTAGATTAGTACGAATTTAATAGATTTTATTCTAGTTTTTAACATGATTTCGTTCAATATAACATCTTAGGTATTACACACGATACGAATACATTCTACCAAACGATTTGAATACAAAATCACTGYCAATAACTTAAAATACAACTTAACATTCATAAAGCAAACATTACATGTACATTTATTACAAAAAAATATTTGCAGACTACCTATATTATAAGTCAGAAACTTTTATAAAAAAAAAATAAGGCTTCCAATTGTTAAWTATTTTTCTTTAGTTTTTCGAAACTGTTTATAGAAGAAAATAATGATTCCACCATTATCTTTAAAGTGGGTTGTTGGAGTAAAAACTAGATTTATTCAGTAGTTAGTAGGTATTTATAAATTTTAGGCAAATATACTAGGTCAGTAGCTTTAAAAATAGAACAGAAAAAAGCATTAAACAATTAGGGTAGATGGACATTTTCGAAAACATCGATTTTGTATCTGGTTTAATATTACAATATGGATGAGTAGTAGATTCCAGGCTACTTATTGATAAAATGCAACGAAAAAGCCTGACACGCTTTCTAAAATTTATTTAATTTTATTCGTTTCTATGGTGATAAACAAAGCGTTATAAAAACAGCTTAAGAACGATTTATATAAATAGGTAATTTATATAACTATAATCTATAATAATTAGGAAATATCATAAAAATGAAAAATGAAATAAAAAGTTCAAAAGTCGCTAAAATGTTATGAAATTTGTACCATCTCTTTGATAAGGATAATATAAGTAAACAATCCTAATTTCAAGTTTTTACGAATGTTTTTAACCGAATTACAACAAAAAACTCCCAAAATTAAAATGTCTATAAATAGCTAACATTTTCCGAACTTTGAACCGTAAGGAACAAAATCCAAAATTTAACACAAAAGATCTCTTGTCATTTTTCATTTTAAACAATATTTCTGGTAGAAAATGTCGTCCGTAATTATTTAATATTATAAAATCRTGAAATCGTACGTTTTTTCTCCTTTAACTGCTTTTATTTCGAGTACCGTTTTGAAAATCGAAAAATGACCTCTCTAAASTAGGTACTAGCTCAAGAACATTACCTTTCAGAAAAGAYGTTACACTTGATACTTTTGAGCAAGTTTAGAGGGAGAAAAAGTGTTTACAGAATAAAAAAGAAAAATAAATAAATATCATTRTAAAACCAATACATTACTCGCTCCGTTTAGAATCTAAAATGGCCATTAACTCGTTCTTGTTTGGTTGTTAACTTTTTACAGCTCATTATGCCATCGGCATTGCCAAAAACGAAGAGTGAGAGTCTTAGCGACGGAAACAGCGTGAAATGTGATGAAGAGGAAATACTGGAGGTAGCTCCTCCCACGGAACCAGTCTTGCCATTCTTTTCGTTGCCTGACACGCCAACGATAACAACCCCCGCGACGACCAGCAGTATCATCCCCAATGGTAACGGTTACCAAAGCACCGGTAAAAGTTATCAGAGCACCGGTAACGGCTACCAGAGCACCAGTAATGGCTACCAGAGCAGTGGTTATGGTTACCAAACCAACGGCAGTGGTTACCAGGAGAGCAACATCTGTCAGGGCGTCGCGAAAAACCGATTCGTTGGCGACAGTCGCGGTGACGGCGTTGTTGCCCCCGCGGCGGTCATTAGTTGTTTTGTGGGCGACCAGCGGCAGTCGAATGACAAAAATCTCCGTCGGTGTGGTGGCGGTAACCCATCGCCCGCTGCAGATGTGGCAAGGGAATTTGTATTTCCCGCCGCGGAAACCGTCACTGACGAAAACCGCTCACATCACGAACAGGCGAGTGAATAATTTTCGCTATGACTCTTGAAGGTATAGCTTTTAAGTTATAATATTTAGATTGCAATAAAAACGCGTTGTCTCCTCTTTCTTTTCCACCCACTACCTCTTGATGTGTTCCAATTGAGTCGCTAACCTTAACTCAGAAAAAAAGTAATATACCAATCGAGTCCGTAGATTTTATACTTTTTATGTGTTACAACGTGCATTTATATATATTTATACTTCTATTTGAAATAGTAATGCTAAAATTATTATACACTGAATTCATACACTAACCCAGTATCGATCCTAACTAAAACAAATATCAAAATTAAAGAAAACTTTAGGCACGCTGCACGCAGCTTTTACAAATAATACAAAAGGAGATTTGAATATATAAGAAGTTAAACAATTAAGTTTTTACCGATATAATACAATAATTAATGTATTTATTTATTATTTTCAACAGCTTATTAGTAAAGTATGCTCCACACAATCCATATTATTTTTACCAAACTTATCAAATATATGTCCACATTAACAAAAATAAAAAATAAAACACTATACTATACTGAGATGTACTTTTTCTTATAAACTGCAGTATTAAGTTTGTAAAAATGAAAATATTTTTTAAAAGTTTCGTGGGACTCAGTTAGATGGTACATAAATAATAATACATTGACTAAATTAGCCTATAAAAAAACCCATTACCCAATTAGATCGAAAAGGTTTTATTGGAACTCAGTTATGCACTCCCACTAACCGCCATTACTGTTATATGTTTCGATAGTTAGCGCTCGAATAAGAGGTCGTGTGTGAGGATAAACCGTGGCCTCAAGCTAATCTCAGAAATTAAAATAGAAATTGGATAAGATATAACGAGATTTGTTATCTCAATATCGGGAGATTCTTTGGCATTACTCGTGAACATTTCGAATACACAAACCTATAGACTATTATTAATAATATTATATTATCAATAATTTTTATATAATGTTATACAAATTCCCGTGCTGGAATAGTATTGCCGGTTTATAACCAACGGCTGCGTTTTATGCAATAAAAATCCTACTGAAATATAAACATTATAATTATAAATTTATATAATATGCGATCGAGGCAAAACATTATAAATCGTATTTTTAAACAAAACTATTGACCCATTTATACCTAACTGTGAATTAGAGTACTTTCTTGTTTTGACTATTCCGATAATCGACTATAATAATTAATTAAAATTAAATAATTAATTTTGGTTTCTAATTTATTTGATACCAGGGAACGGCAAAACCACAACAAACTGTGTGCTTATTCCTTTTTTTTGTGACGTATGTACCTAATTGTGTTTTATGATGTTAAATATTCCATTTTGGTATATAGTATATATTATATCCAGTGATGTATTGCTAAAAATATTCGTGGGTATACGCCTTCTAGATCTTAGGTGTCAATTACTTTATACTTACATGATAACTACAACATTAAATCAAAAATATATTTTTCTCGCTTCGCTGTATTAAAATAACATCCAAATTATCAGGTAACAAATATACAAGTATTTTTCAACAACTTAATTGAATGAAAAACAGAAACAAATTAAACCACAAAATGCCTTTTTATTTTAAATATACTCTTAAAATTATTATGGCTCTAAAACCAAAATATTTAAAATATGCACTTAAAATGTTGAGTATTTTATCCCAAATATTGTGAATTGTATTTTGTTACTCACATCACAAAATTAACCATGTAAACTACAAAGTGTGCAATGAATGAAATTCCTTGCCCTACACTCAACATTTCAAAGTATCTAATTATTATCAATTTGTAAAATAYAAAATATTTAACTAAAACAAATCAATTATAAATTTATAAAAAGTTTTCTTTATTAGTTTTCTTTATTCATTAAATAAATAAAATGATTAAACATTTTTTTACAATTTTAATATATATTATTATAAATTATATTATTTCCATAAACCTTTTTTTTCGTCTCTTGTTTTTGGTTCCTTGTTGAGGTTTTTTTTTGTTCTAGTATCTTCAGCAGTATTATGATTTACCAATCAACTAATGGCATAATTTGATGGTTTCCATTCATCTAGTGGAGGTCCATTTACATTTATAAACATAAGACTGGCTAAATGTTTAATAGTTAATAGTAAACGTTGAACGTACCTTACGAGTAGTGTATATATTGTTCATTAAACTGAATCCCCATTCACACTTTGCTGTTGAACAAGTAAAGGTTTGTATCAAGTTATAAAATTCAGGCATAACATTTTGAAATGAAACTTTTTGATCGTCTATTATTTGTCTGAAACCATTGATAGCATCATTCTTATTGATTTGAAAACGTTTACGTAATCGTTTTATTTCATCTTCACCATTATGTATATTTTTATAACTGATGTCTTTTGGCCACTCACTTAATCTATAATTTGCATATCTTGGAATATTGATATATCTTGTTCATTATCCGAGAGCCTAGTTTTTAAGTTATCGACAAGACTGGTTAGAAATTGATCATGATTAATGTTTATTAGTTTAGAGTTTTTTCTAATCTAATATTTTTCAAAGTTATGTTGTTTGTTGCATTTGTTGCTTTAGTCAAATATTCAACTTTCAAGTCTTTAAACGAAATCAAAACTCTTATTCTTCTATTTATATGTTGCTGAGCTTGAATTAAAGTTAAAGAACGCTTCTGGAGCATGTTTGACAAAACTGTTTGTTCATTAAGACAATCATACATTAGACCAAGATCCAATAGGAATTCAGGACTAGCTAGCCTTTTTCTTAATCCAATGTACTTGGCTCTTGTTTGCAGATTATCTCTATTTCAGACTAATGATGCATTTAATAAATGGTTTCATAGACCTTCATACATTTTCCTACCACTTTCTGCCCTTGAACTAGATTTTCTAATGCATAATCTTGTTCTTTGTTTCTACCTAATGGAATCATTTTTTTTTTTCATTAATTTAATGAATTAATTTAACAAACATAATTGGCCATTTTTTTATGAGATGGAGGTTGTAATTCTGCTACAGATGTCTCACCATATTTTCCTGTGGACACATTCTCGACATTTTCTGTAGTATTCTTCAACAAAACATACAATCAATTATCAATGTGAATAATAAAAAAAGAAAAAAGTATTAAAATGTACTAAAAGAATTAGTTTACCTAGTCAAAAATTGGTCAATTTTTACCAACAACAATTAGGAATGAAAATATGAAATTTTCAAATATTTATTACTTAAAAGGTACTTATATAATTTAAGTATACTGCAACTGTCATATATATTGTTTTTAATGACAAATTATTAATTAAAACATAAAAATACTAAAAACTATAAACCACTTCAAAATTATAATGAACATTTTTCCAGTTATCAATAATTATCTATGATATAGTATATTACAAAATCAATGGTTATAAATATTCAACTATATATAAATACAAATATATATAATTATAGACTATAGGTATATTGCAACTCTCAAAAGTAAAAAATTATTTAGTTTTAAACATAAAAAAAAAATAGCTGTCAATGTTTATATTTGTGGCTACTGATTAGTGCATTACAAATTACAATTACAATTAAAAATACATTCATCGCTCCGCTCAGAATCTAATACTTACCTTTGTGTTTGATTTTCTAATGACAAATTTGTCCATTTTAACTTCAAATAGGTATAAAACTCACAAGAGTTGTGAATAGCAATTGCCCAACGAAGAACTAAAAACAATTAGTTGGTACAGACGGTACAGTTACTACCTGCCAGGAAACTTAYTGGTTACTGATTGGTGATTACTGTTTATAATGATTATAGACGATAGTTTTTTTAAATAATTTTAATAAACATTGTTATAAATAATAAATATACACGATTCAGAATTGAAGTACGGAGAATATTATATAATATATGTATACTTATATTATACCTGCATAATATATTATGACATACCCACATGCTCACACACTCATGTACAATATACATTTACAACCATAACGAGTTGAAATAGACATATTATATTTATATCGGTATCTTCTAAGTAATACTGGTAATTGGTTCTCAAAATGTGTATTGATTTATAATATTATACTAAAATAAAGAAAAATAATATAGGTACTATCTGAGAAATGAAAATTACAAATATACCAAACATTTTGTTTTTATCACCGAAAATTCTTATAGGTTTACGGGGCTATATGACCGTATACCCGAGTATCGCCGTTTATTTAAAGAGTATATGCTAAAAAACAAACTTGAAAATTCAGTATACCGTATACGCCGTATAACCCCCCCCCCTCCAATACACCATTGATTACATCAAGTACAAACACGGATTATGTCAGAAGGAGTAGGTAAAAAATTGAATATTATATTCCTTTATCTTTCTGAGATGATACGTCTGTATTAGAAAAACTATTATTAAATTACGCCTAATGGTCACCCAGTGTCAAACTACATATTTTATCAGAAATATCAATTTACAAATTATTAATAGTTGTTTGAATTTGGGAAACATCATATTATAAACACTGTTGTGTACTCATTTGTTTTAATATTAAGTTTAAATAAACTGTAGAAAAAATCCGATGTACCTACCTACGTAGATTTGATATATTACGTATATGAAAAGACTAGATACGATACGCATTCAACTTCCTCTTAACTGTCATTAATGTTATTGGCCCATTGCGCTGATTTTTTTAGTCCTTTATAATGATTTCGTTGAAAGTTTAATTTATGATTCGAGAACATCCGGGATTAAAATATATAGTCGCCTGTTACGAACCTCCAATGAGGTTTGTGCACAAATAAAATAACGAACACTTCCGAACTAAATATTACTTTCTATATTTAAAACTYGAAAAGAAAAMTTACWATTACAATAACTGAATTAATATTATGAATAAAATGGTCTGACAATWAATMAGGTTCTGGYGAGAATMACAATGTTCTGTCTTACTACTCTAGAAWCCAACTGCCACGGCTTGCTATACGAGCCG